ACGGTAGGCTTTGGGGTTTAGGGTTTAGGGTAGGGGTTAGGGTAGGGTTTAGGGTTTAGGGTTTAGGGTTTAGGGTTCACGGTAGGCTTTACTTTGGCGCATTGCAACAAAACCGAAGGTGAGTGGCTGAAGGCTGAGAATGTCGAGCTCGGGCGTGAATGGCTGAAAGATTCACTCTAGTCTATGGCCTCTGAAGGAACTAAAAACCCTGGCATTCGGTATCTGCGCAAGCGCAGCTTCATGGCTCATGATCCGCGGAGGAGTTGCGTGACAAAGCCCCCGAAACTCTAGAGCCCTGGAAGGCCCTTCGGAGGCCTCTTGCCAGGACTTAAGCACGTTAAAGTTTAGGGTTTAGGGGTTTAGGGGTTTAGGGTTTAGGGGTTAGGGTTTAGCACGTCAAACCCTAACTTCCCGAAATCCTGGCTTTGACAGAACTAGTTTAAATAAAGCCCGGCAGCCCCAAAGCTCAAACCTGAGCTACTAAACCCGAACACCCGAACGCCAAGCCGAAACCCCGAAGCCCAACCCAAAACCCAAAGCCCCGAAACCGCCCGGCAAAGCTCTTAAGCCCCTGTAGTAACCTCTGAGGGGCCTTAAAACCCGAAACCCCAAGCCACTGAACCCCGTAGTAGGAAACCCAAAAGCCTCAATCCTTAAGACCTTAAGAGTAATGCAAAGGGAATCCCAGCACTATTTGACCTTAATCCGGTTTCCAACTTTTTGGGGGTTTACTATAATCTCCGGGCTTTAGGGAAGATTCGTGGGGGGCCTCCTCCCAGGTGCCCACAGGCTCCGACTCCCGAGGTTTGATGTGCTTCTCCCCGGGCTGGGCGCTGGGGGTTTGGAGGAGTTCAGGGCGTTCAGGGTTTAGGGAGTTTAGGCTTTAGGGCTTTAGAGGAGTTTAGGGTTTAGGGCTTTGGATTAGGGTTTTGGAGGAGTGTAGGCTTCAAGGGTTTAGGGTTCTAGGGGAGTTTAGGGTTTAGGGTTAAGGGCTTGAGGGAGATGATATGGGGTTTATGAAGGTCTCAGTTAAACTTGATGGGTGCTTTGGGCGGGGGGGTGATATTCTCGTGTACTTATGGGTACTATAGGGTTTCGGCGGTAGGTTTTGGGATTTTGTGTTTAGGGTTCTGTGGACATGTGCAATTTAAAGTTGAGGGTTTAAAGCAGCCAAGCAGGAGTTGAGTTAAGCTGTAGGGTTCGGTGGCATACAGGCCTCAATGCTTTCTTCAAAAGACACCCGCACAAACCCTGAACCCTACCACATACAACTAACTTGAGGTTCGCATTCTGGGGCTCGGGGGTTGAATAGCGAAAATGGAAAGGGGTTTGGGGAAGGCTGTTCCCAATTATTTTATTTATTCCAACCCCTGCAATGATGAGGTTGTGAGTTGTCGGACTTGTTGGTTTCGGGTTTGGGGAATATTGCAATATATATATATATATGTATATATATATATATATATTATTATAATAATAATATATATGTACACACAAAGATGCAGACATAAATACATACACATACTTCTTACGCTACGAATCAGGCGCAGGCATTGGGGTATACTATAGTATCATTTGACACGGACTATAAGGGAAAACTATTTACATCACTACATATTCCCACCTCTACATCATACCTCTGGCTCTTGCTCTGCTTCATCATGGATGCGGCAAGCCCACAGCTTCCCCGACCGGGAGGTCTAAGCATTGGGGATCCTGATGCCAGTGAGAGTCTAGTCTATGCTAGGGCACCTCATGTTCGGAAGTTGTGAAACTCGCACATGAGGATCCACCGACTGCATTCCTAGGAGGGAGCATTCTTTGACAAATTACAAGGTAGAAAAGCCCTGTGACCTCCACCACCCTCCGACCTCCACCAGACACACTCTGAGGCACTCTGAGGGTCCCACCACATCTTTGCCCGCATGCTTCTTGTACTCGTCCTACGCGAGAATCCGAACCGGGAGATCACTGGTTGACAGGAGGCTTGGAGAGTAAGGCTGCGGTGGGGGTTCTCTTCTACGAGCTTTGGCTTTGAAGGCTCAGTCTTTAGGATGGTTCGGGTTGGTAGCAGGTCCCGGGTCCCTGGGTTCTGATGAAGGTATCCTCAGACGGGTATAGCTGAAAGCTTGGCAGCATGATGCTGCACGGATCTCTGAGTACCAGTGAGGAGCACTCAGGATCCTACTACGATGAGGCTGTTCATGTGGGTGGTTGTCAAAATTATGGTCCCTTTTTGGGTCCTTATTATAATACGGCACCTATTATTTAGGGTACCCCAAAAGGGACCATAATTTTGACAACTTCCCATGTGGAGCCGCTCATTCTGAGAGACTTCCTGGCACTACTTCAAAGGCCCTCTATTACTGTTGCTGAGACAAGCTACTCTGCGCAATGCTCTGCGTCCCTTATAACCCTAAATGGTTCGTGTACCCTTTTATGCTACTGGTCAGGTGTTAGGGGAGAATACGGGCGAACCCTACCCGAACCTTAAACTTGCCCTAAACCACGCAGCTCTATAATCAAATCGGGTATTCGCCCTCCAGAAAGTTCCTCATTCCTTTGGCTTCTCAGGGTTTCACTGGCTTCTTCAAGTGGGTTCCTTAATGAGCTTACAGTTTCAGCCCCGAAGCCCTAAACCCAAAGGGGGCCGGGCCTTGAAGCCGTTGCAGGCCACTGGACGCTCTGAGATCACCTCGTTCGTGACCTGTGCGGTCTGACATTTGAAGGCTTTGGCTTTGAAGCTTCGTGTTTAGTCTTTAGGGTTTAAGCCAGATCCTGTTCAAAGGGCCTCTGGAATTGCAGGGGTCCTTTTGCATGGGAACCCTTTGGGAACACGAGGGGATGCATGTAAGGTCCTTAGCCGGATGGGCGCCTTTAGGATTTTAAACCTTGAAAGGGGTCTTTGGGGTGTTGTAAGGGTCTGTTTTTGGGGAGGACTTTGGGGTTTCCTATGGTTTAAAGTCTTGGGACAGGTGCTTTGAACAACTGCAATGGGGGCGGGAGGTGGGTGTACTGGCATGTCTACAACAGCTGACCTGTTACAGCTACAGAGTTACGCCACCCCGGCTTCTGAAAGCCCGTCCAGAAGATGATGGCACCTCGTCGCAGCAAACACCTTCACCGACGGGGTGGTTCTCCCTGTCCGCAGGGTCCACGGCAACTTGAGTGGTTGCTCTCCGTTGCAAACTCGGGCAAAGCTGAAGCTGCAAAGTAACTAGAGGCATGCCTGCTCACCAGCAGTCGGATGCCATTGGGAGCACCTGCCGACAATGTGACCCAGCACTTCCCGCATGGGATCCGATATGCATCTAGGCCTACTACGACTACCGAAACTGCTTGCGCAACAACCACGACGCACCCCTAACCTACCAAAACCAACATTTTTGTAGGGTTCCTACAACTCTCTGTTAAGGTTGAATTATCACATGCGAACCTACATGAAGGTAGGCTTTAGTAGTTTAAGGTATCTCCAGAGATGAGAGTGGTGCATCATGCAGAACTGCCGTGCTTGCACCTTCCTGCTGGCACTGTCCTCCACCACCTTCCGGAGAACAGCCGCTAAACCTTCGAAAAGGAGGTTAGGGTTTAGGGCTTAGGGTTAGGGATGTTTAGGGTTTAGGGATGTTTAGGGCTTAGGGGAGTTGAAGCTTTTGCGGGGGGTCGGATGATTTGTTCCTGTTTCTGGTGTACAAGTAGCTTCGGTTGATTTCAGGAAGCCTAGCAGCTCGGCCAAGCTGCAGCGTGAATAACTGTCTCTACCTGTAGTCTCCATTTAGTTCCTTTTTTTGGTTTAACCAATTATATATTAAGAATTTTATAAGGTATCCCCAAAAAGGAACTACAATGGAGACTACAGGTAGTTAAGGATTTTCCTCCCGGCAAGTCTTCGGCAGATAGTTACCGCCCCAAACCCTAAACTCCAAAACCGGTACTCATCTCAAGGCTGTGATGCCCTAAACCCCTAAACCCTAAATCCTAAACCCCTGAACCCTACACCCTAAACCCTTCTTCTTTCGCGATCTGGTGCCGGGAGCTTGCAGCTGCAAGGCAGGCACATCCTCTGCCGCTACAGATTTGCGAGGCTGGATGCGACTGTAGCCACCCATGGATGTTCTCGTCCAAAGCCCTAAACCCTAAACCCCTAAACCCTAGACCCATGGATGTTCTCGTCCAAAGCTCCGCTTGAGAAGCAATGAAGGCCCCGGAAGTTCCCTCGGTTTGGGGTGATCCCCGAGACCCCTGCAACGGCCACGACGACTGCTACTAAGCTACTACCACTACTACTCCTCCTCCTGCTGCTGCTACTGCTACTACTGCTGCTGCTTCTAAACTACTACTTCTACTACTACTGCTGGTATCGAAAGCTTGCATGGATTTCGCATCTGATGCTTGAGCACTTGTAGCCAAAAGCCACGATACTCACTCGCTGAAGCCTAAGCCCCCCAGACCCCGAAGCCCCCGAAAGGATGCCCCACTGCCTGAGCCGACGAACTCAATAGAAGTCCACCAGGATCCCGAAGCCCTAGAAGCCCTTAACACTAATCCCTAAACCCTAAACCCACCCCCCTAATTCCTAATCCATTAATCCCTAAACCCTCCCGCGCCTGTAGCGCTCGTTCCAGCCCTGGTGGGGCACGTGGTACGTCTTCCAAACTTTCTCACGGCCCTGGTCACCGGTTCGGTGGGCAAGGGAGCGCTACAAAAGAACTGTAGTCGGGATAGCACTGCAGTCATCGCAGGTAAAGTTGCTTGGGAAACAACCACTAGTAACACTAGTATGGCTCTACCACGTGTTGTGACAATTCTCCGGTTTAGAGTTCGCGGTCTGGGATGTAGGGTCTTGGGTGAGGTTGCACAAGGTAATGGGGCTTCCGATTCGAATTACGAATTTGGGGTTTATGGCTTGAACTTCAGTGGGTTTTGGAGGCATGGCCTTTCGTGCGAACCAAAAGCGAACAGCGGAGCATACGAATGGAACTAGGGGTCGATTCATTGGCTGAATTTCTGAGGCACCTTGTAGGACTCTACAGGGATGCCACTGTTCGTTACTCACCCCTACCTGGGCATGGCTGCCATGCTCTGTGAAAGTACCCGAGCCAAAACTCCTCCGCAAACAGACCGAGCCTTGAACCTTGAAACCCCGAACCCGGACACCAAAAAGTATGTTAGAACCATAGCCTTGTAGAGGTGTTGGGCCAATGATTGATTTTTTTGTATACCTACTTTTGGGGGTTGGGGTACACCTAAATTCACCTAAACCGCCCGAAGTCCTAAGCAACCGCTGGGCTTCGGGGCCTCATCGCTGCGGCTAACATTCACCTGAGGCCAAGAAGCGGGACATTTCGGATCTTCAAGCAAAATGTAAGGGCCTTAATAATTAATTAGCATGGGATTTTGGGGGGTTCCTTATTATGACTATAGTATTACATACCCCCCCCCCCCCCCCCCC